TTTGACTGTCAGTTCACTATCATTGTTATTTGCTTAGAGAAGAAATAGACTAATTTGGTCGTTATAAGGGGATTAGGTAGGCCATTGTCAACTAGTGTCTGTTTTGCATTGTTCGCTTTTTTAAGGATGAGTAGGCAAGAAGATGGATTCTGGAATTTTCTTCTCACCGCCATTTTGTATCTGAGTTGGGACTCACTCTTAAAGTTAAGGTGCCAAGAGTCTTTGTGTGTTTTTTTAAACGATGAGATAGTAAAAGTGGTGTCACTGTATTCAACGAGAATGTCTAAGAATGGGAGTTAATATTTAGACTTTAGTTCGTGGGTAAAGTTAAGGAGAGAGTTTTTTTTTCCTCAAATGTTGTCTTAAGAGTGAATATTTCTTTTGTGTTGTGTGTGTATTTGTGCTAAAATAAAAAAAAATATCTTCTACTTAGCGGACATATATTTTAGGTTACAGACAATTAATTTTGGATAAAGCAGATTACCATAAAAAAAATTGCAAAACATCATCGTTGACCGCAGTAAATTAATCAAACTAAACAGAAACACCACGTTGATCTAAGATGTTCCGTCAGCAAACTCATAACATCGAATAACGCTGAAGCCGTTGACTTGAAAGTGAAAAAAAAGTCTTTGGAGATTACCAACCTGGGTACTTTCTAGAAATAGAAAAACATATAAACCTTGATACTCGCTATGACTAATTTCCCAGATCCCAACCCTATCTATGAACTATCAAAATGCTTTAATGGAATCATTACCTCATACCTACCTACCAAATTCAGCATCACATCTACACTGAATTCTTCCAAATTTTAAAAACTACAAAACCAAACCAAGGTATCATAGCGTCACTTGACGTCGAAAATTTATTCACAAACGTCCCCATCGAGCAAACCATTGATATTATCGCCAATTCTAGTACAATTCTATCGCTGGGCCATCAAAAGTTACTACACGCTTGCACAACCAGAGGCCCAGTATATGAATATAATGGTAATATTTACACCCAAAGTAATGGTGCTTGTATGGGAAATCCGTTTTGCCCGTGTTTGTCTAACTATTGCATACCCCATGTAGAAAATATGATGTTTAAACAGGTTTGTAAACCTAAAATATTATTCCGCTACATAGACGATGTATTTATTTTAGTGAATAACACAAAAGAAATAGCTACTCTCAATACCTCAGCTGAAAAAAAACTGTCCTTACATTTACCTGCGAACTCCCATTCAGAGACGTTCTCCTATCCATAAAGAACTGAAAAATGCAAAAGAGATATTAGTTAAAATGGCTTCCCTAATCGCCTTA